ACCTTAAAAGTTAAAAAGATCTAAGGACTAGAGAGACATGTCTTTTATTTATGCAGCAACAATTGTATTGCTTTTAAAAACTACAACCAATCCTGCTAAAAATTAATGTATATATTCTGATTTAAACTTGTCTTTTTAAAACTCTTTATTTATGTTTTAAATTTTCAAATTGTCAACAAAATTAATCATTAGACCTAATTAATTGAACTTAAGAATAAAAAAAGAAGCCTACTCACACTATATATAAAGAAAAAAAATTGGGCCTACTTTTTCTTCTATTTTTTTCGGGTCTAGGGCGGTCGCCCCTCTTGCCCCCCTCAGAACCGGCCTTGAAGAATGTGTACACAAAGTGTGTAGTGGTAATTACCCTAACAGTCTACTTTCGCATGCCATATATCATTTATAGCCCACCTACGTTTTCTTTTCATTTTTAACTTTTAAAATTTCAATTTGATTTTCTTATTTCACTTTTAGCCAATTTTCCAATAGATAAAGCAGGAATCCCCGATCGACGTTCATGGCAGTGTTGGTCAAAAATTCTGGAAGATCAGTCGGCGGCCTCAAGGCTCGTCCGAATGGTACGGCCACTTTCTTCCTCTACTTTCTCTCCCACCCATCTCCGTCATTCCCCTGCTTCAAGTGAGACCCCCGATTGCCGCTTCCATCTTATCATCACCGCCTCTCCATCCATTTCCTCCACTAATTCGAATCTAAAGTTGTATGTGTTCGACAAAATAACAAAAATAACAAAGATGCGAGAGGTATTGGATCTGCGAAAAGGATGTGAGGTGGTCTGAATGTGGAGCTATGACAGCTTAAGGAATTTCAGTTTAATTTCTGAGAATACCACTCTTACAGGTCAAGCAAATTAGAGTTCAATTTATTTTATCTCCTATATGAAGAAGGTTTACTGCTTCCAACCTTATCTTCCTCTCCATTTCATTTGTTTACTACGAGCAGACTAGCTAGATGTCAATCTATTTTCATATCTTGTCATAGTATAAGGGATTACGCCTAGGATCAACAAGTAGTGTATTGTTGTGTTCTATATTCCTTAATGCTAGGAATGGCTACTTACTTTGACAGTGGATGAATTTTGAATTTGATAAGAAAAAAGAAGAGGTTGTTCTTCCCTTCTATTCCTGTTCATATGAGAGAAGAGGTTAGTGCTAATGTAGAATATTGTGTTGGTAGCTACAAAACTTAGCTTCTGTTTAGATTCTTATTAAGTCTGCAATAGATGATATCCATGACTTTTTGAAAATTTCTCTCCTATTATAATTTTCATTTTCATGATTAATTTGTCTTTATTCATTCTAGGATGTTAAAGTAGCTCTAAAGAGGAACTTTGGTGCAACTTTGGATGTTATTGATGTTCCAGGTACTTTTATATGCTTCATTTATTTGGCAAGAACACAATATTGGTTGGCTTACACCACGACTGATGCTAAGGCTTTTCAATACATTTCCTAACCAAAAACCTGGATTGCTTAAGAAGTCTTTTTCGATTATGCTGAAAGTTTCCCGATTCATTGATTTTTCATCCACACTGTATATTACATCATTTAAAACTAGCATTTTTTCACACTTCAATATAGAGTATTACAATTAATTTGTATAGAAATTGAAGATCAACTCAATCAGAAGTACAAACTTGCTGCACCAGTTTTGAACCTTCAAATAAAAACAGCTTTAGTGCATTTGAAAGCTTGCTTCTGCAAGTTGGTCACTGCTCATATCAAGTAAAGCCGCCACATAGTCAAGTATAACACTAATCTTACCTGGGTGGTTTAGCTTGTCTTTGCCTTCTCCTACTAAAACCAAAGCATCTTCTAGATTGCCCATTTTGGGAAACCCATCGGTCTCCAACAAAATAGGAGATTTAGTATGTGGATGTCAAGTAGGCATGATCACTGGCGAAGAAATTACATTTTCTTCTATGTCTATTGTTGTGCCTGTTGTTTCTATTTACCCCGGGAAATGTATAGAGTTTTAGTATTTGGATGGCTTGAAATATGGTTTTGTGTTCCTTGGTATCATTTTACGTAAGCAGCACATGATAATAAAAATCCCGGGTGTTTTCCCAATTCTCCTTTGATTAGAAAACATTAATTCTATTTTATTTCTATATATGATTTGCCAATTTAGTTGTGTAGGTTTTATTTGTCCTAAGTTTACCTCCAATGCAAACTAGTTATATATCAATACTGACAACAAACACACATGTATCAAATGATTCAATTTGTAGGGTTCCTTTTCCAAAATATTGTCCATGGATGCAAGTAACTTCTTATTGCAGGTCTGCCAAATATGTACTAGGGATTCATAAGAAAAAGAATGCAGTAGGAAAAAACTCCCTGTTACCTTCCCAAAAGCCCTTAACCTAAGTGATTCATAGGCTAATAATTTTACTGATTCATGAATTATTTTTTACTTTCATCATCTTCCTCTGGTTTGCGTCTGTATTAGGAAACTATTGTATGAGCTCATTCAAATTTGAAAACATGTTCAATGCCACATTAGTTGTCATCTTTCAAAGACATCAAAAAGTGAGAGAGCAAGAAGTGACCACCTAGCTTAACAAATTCAGGGAACATTTCGGCAGAACCACGAAAGAATGTAGAACGACTCCAAAAGGGAAGGGGCCTACAGATTTAAGGATACTGAGAAGATCCCCATAAGCAGAGAAACAATGTATGCATCCCCGATTCATTGATTCCAACAATAAACGAAGGTTATCAAGGAAAGTGAAGCCAAATATAGTCAACCCTCAAGATTTGTGTGTTAAGATGTATAAAGAAAATATATGAAGGAAAGCCACACTATGTGATAGATATATGTAATACATTGAAATACTAGATTGAACTACATAGTTGTTGTGATACTTTTATATATTTTTTTTGTTTCTTTTAGTTGTATTGAATGTGTTGCTTTTTGTTGCATCTTTTTGTTTTTTGTTGCATCATGTTGCTATTTGTTGCACTGTGTTACTTATTTTTGTTTTGTTGTTGAATTGTTCTTGCTTTTTGTATATTTAGGTTTTTACTTATCGTTGATACTTCTCTAAAGTAAAAAATCATACATAGATTCATATTTAATCAGGTAAAATGATAAATTTGAATTTCTATATATAAACCAACCACAAGAAACATAAAGAAACAATAAAAAACAAAAAATTCAGAGTTATCAACAAAAGGAAACAAGAAGAAACAATAGTCAAGAAAAAGAAACAACAAATCTATTTATATTTTTTATTATTCATATTTTAAATTTTTAAAATTTTTCAACATTCAATTCTATTTTAATTTTTATTTTATTTTACACTTTTTGAATTTTCGAGTTTTATATTTCTTATGCTTTTTAGTTTATTTATATTAATTTCATTTTAATTTTTTAAACAATTTACTATTTATATTTTATTTTATAGCATTTAATTTGATTTTTAAACTTTTTTGAAACATAAAGAAACAATAAAAAACAAAAAATTCAGAGTTATCAACAAAAGGAAACAAAAAGAAATAATAGTCAACAAAAAGAAACAAAAAATCTATTTATATTTTTTATTATTCATATTTTAAATTTTTAAAAATTTTCAACATTTAATTCTCTTTTAATTTTTATTTTATTTTACACATTTTGAATTTTTGAGTTTTATATTTCTTATGGTTTTTAGTTTATTTATATTAATTTCTGTTTAATTTTTTAAACAATTTACTATTTATATTTTATTTTATAGCATTTAATTTGATTTTTAAACTTTTTTTAAACTTATCAATTTTTTTTTTACTTTGTATGTATATCAGTCTCTAAAATAATAATTGTTTCATAATAGTTTATAATTGCCTATGATAATTTGTAATATCTTCAAATATTTTATAATTTTCAAAACCATTTTTTATAATCTTTTTTTATTTTTAATATTTCAAATATTATAGAGTTTAATTTCTTTTTTCTTTTTTTGAGTTTTTTTTTCACTTGTTTCTATATATGTTTGAATTTTTTTAATTACTTATAAAAAAATCAATAATTTATATTTTTTAATGCTTTGAGTACTTTTTAATCAAATTATAGATTTTATGAAGTCTTTTAAGAAATAAAATTACAGAAATTGTGCTATTTCTACAAATTTTCCACCTCATAAACTATTTTAAATATTTCCTATTTTTACATTTTATTGTTGTATTTTCAAATTTTTATACATTTTCAATACTCAGATTTGTTTTTTTTAAATTCATATTTCATTTTTTAAATTTAGCTTAGGTGTTTTCAGTCTCAATTTTTATTATGCATTATGTGATTTCTTAATTTAATTTTTTTTTATCTAATTTTATTAGTTTTATTATTTTCTAATTATCTTCATCTTTTTTACCACATTTATATCTTTTTTTTAAAAAATGAATTGAGTAATTATTGTAGTTTATACAAATTTATCAAATGTGTGAAAGTAGCCACTGTCGATGCAGGCTTCAGACTTCTTTGAAGTGAAGATGTGAATATTATAGTAAGTTGGTTCAATGCACGGAGCACATAGTCTATTTTTGAAAGGAAAAAGGATGACACCCCATCCCTGAGGGCCCCCAACCCCCACCGGACGGTATTTTGAGAGGATGTAAATTGGACTATAATCTCAATCTGACAGAGAGTGAGGCTCTATCCCCGGTACTTGCAGAGGCCCTATGCATTTTAGCATAGTAACCATCATCGCAGTTGGCGGGATTCGAACCTGGGATCTAACCCTTGTGACACTCCCTTGCTACCAGTTGAGCTACGCTAATCGAAAAGTTTTTTTTTTTTATTTTTGAAAGGAAAAGTTCAATGGACTATTTTTGAAAAGAATTTTGAAAATTGAAAAAAAGTGATACGAGTATTACTTTAACTTTGTTTCTAGTTGTGAAAAAACACCAAAGTGTGTACAGAAGTGTATTCATTACAATTTTTTTTTATATCTGATACAGTATTACTTTATTACAATTTTTTTATTACAAAATTATTTGTGCGTCCAAATTGTCCACCTCTCCGACCCACTTCCCCAAATCGAGGACTTCTGTACTTTCAGGACCATCCATATTTCTCTCCGAGAAATCGAAGCCCTAAACCAGACACAGTCTGCTCCTCCCACACGAAATATGAAGCGGAAGAAATGGTCGGAGGTGGAGGAGCAGACTCTACTGACCAAGTACTCAGAGCTTCTGAACTCCGGCGCTCTATTCAAGCTCAAGACAAGGGAGAAAAAGTTCAAACCCATCGCCGACCACGTCAACTCGGCGCACCACCTCAGCGACCCGCTTCTCTTCCCCTTCAAGTGGTCCTGGCGCGACGTCTCCATCAAAGTCCAGAACATGCGGCACCAGTACCTGGGAGTGAAGCAGAAGATCCGTACAACGAACAACGAGTTCAATTGGAGTGACGGCGAGAATCACTGGGAGAATTTCTTGAAGTACAAGGAAGTGTTTGGGGATGTAGAGCTCGATCCGAAAGATTGCAACTTGGATTGCGGTAAGAATTTCGGGGACGAGCTCTTTACCGATGGGGGAATGTTAGGGTTACCGTTCGGGATTGACAGCGAAGAATCGAAAGAGGGAGATGACGGAGAAGAAGATGATGATTATGGAGATTCGGGTTGTACCCGGGAGAAGAAGCCAATGACCCGAATTTCACAAAAAAGGTTAAGAATGGCGGGCAATCAGATATTAGGTTTAAGAAATGTGATTTTTATGAGGGAGGAGAAGATGAGAGACAGAGATTGGGGCAGGGAGGAAGAGATGACTGAGAGGGAGAATAGAAGGAGAGAAACAGAGTTCCGAAAGGAGATTCACGATGACGAGAAGGAGAATGAGAGGGAGATGAGGGAACTGGAATTGGAAGAGAAGCAGATGGCGTGGGTGAGGAAGGAAATGGAGAAAAGATTGAGACTTGAGAGGGAACTGAGTGAGGAGAGGGAGAGGAGAATGAAGATAGAGGAGAAGAGGGAGGAGGAAGAGATGGAGTGGAGGGAGCGTTTGGTGGGAATGCAGATTGAGCACGAGAAGCAGATGATGCAGATGCACGGGGATGCTTTCCAGAACCAAATGCAGATTCTTGGGGTCATGACCAGACTCATTTGTCAATTTTTTGGAGTTGCAAATGATGATCATCATGTTCTGCAGAACTTACAGGATTCTGGTGGAGGCTTGGTGGAGGAGGAGGAGGGCAATGTGAAGGCTGATGCTGCTTCTCCTTCTGAGTTTTGTAGACTGTAATTAACTTACCCTGTCATATGATTTACTCCGTATTAAATACCCCATTGTTGTATTCATACAATTATCATATTCATAGATTTGATTCTGAAACAATAATTTGGCGTTAGATTACTGTTTCATGTGTGTATCCTATCTTACATACTCCACATTGTAATTAAGCCGTTTTAGAAAATCTCATCTTGAGAAAAAACCTTCTTAGCCAGATTTTCTCACCTGATTATATTTTAGATTTTTAGTGTGTTAACTACTAACTTCAAGTTTTCTGCGCTTTTCAACTTCTATGAAACATCTGAATTCTTATGCAGCTTTATTACATATTATAATCTTTTGTGAAATATTTACTTGACCTGTTTAGAACTTAGAAGTGTATTTGTTCCGTGGGTTGCAAGTTGGAAGGGTTGAGGGCTTGAGGCCAAGTACAAGCCAAAAAATTGCAAGTTTGACATATTGCCTCTTGAAACATACTCGTCCCATAAAATTCTTCCCACTTTCCTTTTTGGGCCGTCCCAAAAAATTCGTACCACTTACCATTTTTGTACAATTTGCGTGGTTCACATTCATTTCACATTTTTCTTACACAACCACCATCATAATCATACATTTCCACTTTATTTCACTTTCTTAATCTTCGTGGCAAGTCAAAGTGGAAAAATTTTTATGGAAATGAGGTAGTACAAAAGAGGTGAGCTAAGATCGCCTATCACATTTGCCTGCAGAAAGAATTCGCCAGTGACAGAATTGGGTGTGCCTTTCCTTCTCCACTCTTTAGTTGGGATTTAGCTTTGGGGATTTTAATATTTTATCCCTCCTTTGAGTCCTTTCTTCCCAAAAAGTTCACATCCCTGTTAGAGGATCAACATTGACGATCCCTAATAAATTAAGTAGTTATTGCCACATTTTTTAAATAATTTCAAAAATTCTCTAAATAACCCACAATCATATTCAAATAATCTGATTTTATGGAGCTAATACACTCTGCACCCACGTATCTTTTTTATTTTCTCAAATTATTTAAAAAAATCGTATTCATATTTTAGCTTAAGACTATTCTAGCAATCATTTCATCAAATAATGAATTGACGATTAGTTCCTACCTTAAATAGCCTGAACATTTCCTACAAATGATCATTAAGTTGACTAGCTCAATCCTCTAAGAATAAGTGAATATCTTTGCCAAGTATATTGTGGTCTCATTAAAGATGTTATCCAAAATAAAATGAAATTCCCCAAAAATATGTGAATAGCATGTCAAATATGTTCTACATAATACTATAATAGGGCCCTCAAGTATGAAGCTCAAATTTGTTAAAAGTTTAGTAATATATATTCCAACATATACTCCGTATAATACAGAGCAATATGATATAAAATTATATCATCGCAATATGATAAAATGATATAAAATTATACAACTGTAAATACTAACACCCAGTAAATTATTAAAGTTGATCTCTAGATTTAATGTTGTTCAGTTTTGCTTATCTCATCGCAATAATAACTTGTTAGGGAGTGTGCAATAGCCTAAAAAACGCTTCTCGACTTTTAGCTTTAAAAAGCTAAAATTTCGACTTTTGGCTGAAAAGTGCTCAAGTAAATGCTACACTCCCAAATAATTCTTCCAAAAAAAGAGTTCCTTAAGAGGCCGTTTGGCAACACTGTTTTTCGGCTTATCAGCCAACTTTTTCATCAAACACGTAACTAGTGTTTTCGCGCGCTCAATTGTGTAATAAGCACAAAAAGTAAGGTTGTAGTTACTTTTCTGGTTTTATTGGCTGAAGTTATTGTAGATGATCATTTTAACTATTTTTACATATAATTTTTTCTTTATTTTATTAATAAAGTATATTTCAAAAACATTTTTTCTTAAATCACCAGAATCAGCCAATACATCCACGTTAGCCAAAACTTTAAATTTCAGCAGAATCAGCCAAATCAGCTGATTTTCGTGCTACCAAACGGGCTCTAAATTGTATATGAACTTACCCGTTCACTACTAAAAAAAACTCGGTATATGCATGAAATTTGGTACGAATAACCCCTTAAAATTCCCAGACTCTCGCTCTTGGCTTGGTTTTGGCTCGGAAAAATATTTCATGCCACCTGGGTCGATCCAAACGTGTTGGCATGGAATATAGGATCCGTGTCAACACTTGGCACGGCTTTTGTCTAGAATTTTGTGTCCCAAACTTAGCATCCAAATCCCTACAAGTTTGGCACGAATATCATTTGTCTCGGAATTTGCCTCGGATAATAGGAACCCAACCGACTCAGTTTTATATCAGTTCATGGATAGGATAAATCCGTGCCAAATAGTATATCACATATAAAAAACGTATAGCGTACTTTTGTACGGTACACATTTTTTATACATTTTTATACGTTTTATTTTTTTTCTTTTTAACAAAAATGTAATCTTTTTTACCATAATAACAATTCACAATTCACATATACAACACCACATACGTGCACAATAATCACAATTCACAACCACAAGCATAACATAAACAAAACTAACATTAATAAGCAGTTGAAAGATAAAACTGTAAAACTGTAAGCAGTCTAAGTAAATGGCTAAAAAGCCATTAGAAGCAGTTACAATAAAAAAATTGTTCAGAGTTTGGGAGTTCAATTAACAGCATTAAAAATATCATCCATGGACACTTCATGAGAGTCGTTCAGAAGGCTGTTAATTCCAAGAGGGGTCGGTGTTTGGAAACCAGAGAACTCGGGCAGCGGGACACTCGGGTTGATGCTCCGCACCTGCTCCAAATACGACATGAACGTATTCGTCATGTTGGCCATCGGGTTTGCCAAATTTGCTGTTGCTGGGCAAATCGGACGTCAACCTGCTCCTGAATGCAGCCATCAATCTCTTCTTGGCTCGGTCCCGTGATTCGGCTTATGCAATCCATGCTGCCCGACAGAACCTTTGCCTCGGAACCCGTCCCAAACCGCCGCCCCTTGTACTCCGGCACGACCTTGCAAAACAACTCCATATCATCAACGTCAAAGGACTTCCCCTCAGATTCTGCTTGGGCCTTCAGCTCATTGTACTTTTTCTACAAAATATAACAAAGAATTATATTTAGCATGTAAAATAACAACTATTACAAATATTACTACTCATGTATATATAATTAAGGTACTCTCATTTCAACAACTCTTGGAGGAGGATCACCAGCCTTGGACACATACACCTTCTCAAAAACCTCAATCTTGAAAGGCGTTCTCTTTATAGATTCAGTCTGTAATCACAACAAGAATTTTATGTTAATGAATTGTTAGTACAATTGAAATAAAACAAGAAATATAAACGTTTAAGAACTTTAATTACCATTCTTTGAACATGTGTGGTCACCGGAATTCGACCTCAACGATATTGCGAATCTCTTGCTGCCTCAGTGTTACGATTCTTTTTCCCTACTACACTCTTCTTCTTAAATTCATTAGAACCCCAATACTCCTAAAGAACAACCCAATATAGGCTCCTGCTCATATTTTAGTTATTGTTGTATTCCATTTAATATGCTAAAAATATATTTATGATACATGGTTAAATAATCTACCCAGTTTCCTACCCAATTTTACACTACCAAACAGGCTCTTAGGCATTTTCTTCTGACTACAAGCCTACAACTTGTTGTGTTCTCTGTGGATTAGAAAAAGCAAAAAATTGTTTTGCAGGCATCAACTTGTGTACTAGTTATGGGAGTAGGTGTGATATCATCAGCCTTTGGAACATATTCAGCCATTTCCCAGATTGCCGAGAGTCTATCTGGTTGATGAGTGAGCCCACATTTTGGTAGACTATAATTTGAAATTTTATATCATTGAAGTACTTATATTGGCGTGTTACTGGTGAATAAAGGGTTAAATTCATTGCTTGTTGTTCCTTGTAGATATTGTTAGACCCTAGATTTTGATATAACGATTTTGATGATGCCATCCCCATCTTTTGTGAGCATTCAAATGTTTGTATTTTACTCTCTAGCAGATTCATCTTTTGTAAAGTCTTGTTCAAAAGTGTCTTGTTCGAAATACTAATGAACAAAATAGAAATGACTGTAAAAGAAAAAAAGATGCAATAAGGTAATATTCTTTTACCTTAAACGGATACCTTACAAATCCAACCAGTTAAATTTATTTTGTTACGTAAGAAGCACTAAAAGATTTTGACTGGACAAATTAATTAAACTGGAACATAAAAATGCAATAAGGTATTAATCTTTACCTTAATAGGATTTTCTATCCTACCAGTTTAATTAATGGTCTAAGTTCAAAATACTAGTTGGGCCAATCACAGCCAAGTATGACCAGAAGTCAAAAGAAAAATGTATGTATCAAATAAATTATACCGGAAAAGAAAAAATGCAATAAGGTAAATACTACCTTAAAAAGGATATTTAAATCCTACCGGTATATATTTATTTGATTACGAACATTTTTATCAAAAGGCATATTGGTATGAAAAATGTGTCAAAGAGAGAACAAATAAATGTAAAATTTCTAAGACTAATAATATTATTACTAGAGTTGCTTCTCTATCTGACCTAAAGACCCAAGAAGATATCTGTTCAACGCTCTCTGATAAGGTTCTCTGATGCGGCTCTCTGATCAAAAATCTCTGATGAGGGTCTCTGATGAGGAGCTCTGTTCAAGGTTTTCTGTTAAGGTTCTCTGATGAGGTCCTCTGTTGAGGTTCTCTGATAAGGTTCTCTGATAAGGAGCTCTGTTCAAGGTTTTCTGTAAGGTTCTCTGATGAGGTTCTCTGTTGAAATTATCTCTGAGGAGGATCTCTGGTAACTCTTAAACAGACCACCCAACCTCTTGTAAAGTATTCTGATCTCATCAGAAGTACACCAAAAGTACTCGACGAATTCTAGGTCATTACAACATCATCTATCCAACATCCTTAACAATGTGCTGTCCATAAGCAAATTCACATACTGAATATGCCTTCTTCAAAAAGGGTCTACTAAGAAAAGGACTACGTGGAGCAGTCCCCTTGATTTGAAATTATTAGAGATGAAGCATTGAAACTTAATCATTCTCTGGAGTCAGGCAACTCCAAAAGAATGGTTAACCACACTCTCTAAACATTTTGTGAAAAATGGGTTCACAAAAGACAAAGTAGACAACATGCTATTTAAAGCATGAATCCACAAAGTCTCTACACCAACCAAGCTATTGAATTGAACAAGATTCAAAACATCACGACAAGAGCTTGGAATAATCATCAAAGCAAAGGAAT